GTTACATAGCAAATATTTGCTTTACACTATTGCACCAATTGTTGTTGATATAAGTCACTAGGCCTCCTCCACGTTTCTGATGTGTTGTCGGACGATCGACTCGGCATCCGGAGAAGCATCGATTTTAGTAATCTCTTTATCAATTTCGCTATGTAACCAGGTCTCTTGTAATAGAATTGCGCCCAACTTAGCATATTCCATACCGCGTACAAGATCAGATAGATCTGGTAATTTTCCAAGCAACGAACGTACGTTATGGCTGATAATGATGGGTATACAGAGTTGTGGCAAAGTTCTTTGACGCAGTGCTACTCTCCAACCACCTCGATGCTTCCTCCAATGTTAGCGAGATTTTCTGCGAATCCTTTTGTACTTATTTCTCACTGATTTTCAGAATTCAAGTACTTCAGGAGGTAAATTAGAGTTCTTGATGCTTATCATGAAGGCGTTATGAAATATCGCGACCGGCGTCATCGTAATTACACAATATGTCTATGGAAACGACCCACAAAGTTAATTGATGCAGAGAAACAACGGGAAGGTCAGTGATTATGTGACAATGATCGAACGGAAAGCAACAGCACGGCCGAATTTGAAGGCCCCGCCAAAGTTACATAAACTGTTCGAGTAGATCACCGGTAAATTATGCTGGGGTCGGAGGAGAAACGTGCACAATGGATTCGGGTCTGGTGAAGTCACGGGGAACTGACTATTCTTCGGACTTCACCTTCAAGCACAATCCTCAGTTCATGAATTCAACCATATACTCAGAGAAGCACTAGACTCGAGTTCTGCTCTTATTAGAGCTCATCAGTGGTATATATTCAATCCCGACCCATCGGGCATGGAAGGCGTGTGCGTTACTACTGTACCAACCAGCTCACACCATGGCTGAAACAAAATTGCCATTTCATGTTTTTTTCAGGTGTAGTCTTCATTGATAGTGAGTCAGTTCTTTGTGGGCCCGACAACAATGAAGGAAGACACAGAGCTGAAAATCTGTTAACTCCAATCGAAAGCCTCCCACTAAGTCAGGACTTCCATGCAGGGTGATTGTATGATAAT